AAGATTGATATTTTCTAATACTACTTGTTTATTAATATCTATAGTATTTTAAATCTAAACCTAAAAAAGAAAAAAAGAGGGAAATAAAAAAGACGAAAGACAAAAAAATTGGTGCGGGACATACATCAACATCAAGTGTGATATATATGGATAGAATTTGGAAACAGGTTCCAAGAAGAAGACATAATTTCTGATTGAGCTTTGGTGTTCTTGTGGGGAAAAAGTTATTTATTGAAAACACTTTAAAGTAGTGGTAGGGGCCAATTTAACATCTCAGTCATAGTAATTTTTGTTTCTACACTTTAAACCTTAAATCTAAAGACTATTTAGAAATAAAATAAAAAGACCATAACACTATTGATATTGGACATGATTGTCTTTTACACTATTTCACACCAAAATGATAATCTATAAACAACATTTACATATTTGGATTTTTTTTCTCAATGTAATTTCTTTTTCACATTTTTATAGGCAATTTCTTAATTTACTTTATAACTTTTTATGTATTATGCGAAGTTCTATAAATATCTCTCAAAATCAGAAGTATACTTCTGATTCGCACCATATTATATATGAATTATGTTGGAACGGTTGGGTGTAAATTGGAAGTATATTTACAGTTTACAATTGAAAATATACTTCCGGTTTCTGGAGGAAATATATGACGCGTTGACTCTTCCCCTCCCATTACAACAACACATTCAAAATAAAACACAAAACTCTCTCAAACTCTCTTAAACCCTTATTTCATAAATCAAATAATTTGTCAAAAAATCATCAAAAATCATCAAGCAATGGTTAAATAAAAGCATTCTAACGCAATCAATCAAGAAAAATCAACACCAATCAATCAATTATGTTGTTTTTGAAAAAAAATTAGTTTATGTAATTTCTACTCAAATTAGTGAATTAGGATTCAAATTATGATATTGTAGCTAGTTATCATCATTAGGAGTCATTAGAAAAGTGTTTCTAAAGTTTATTTTATGATCAATGCCCTTATTTGAGCTCATTTGGGGGACTGGGGCGTCAAATGAGCGTCATTCTGTTATCGCAGAAGGAATCGGAATTAAATTTCCGTTTTTACTAAGAACAAAATCGCAAGTATAGTTCTGGTTTCTGTCTGTGTTTGTTTTAAGCATTGTTTTGCACACTGGATGTTATGTTAACATTTCTTTCTTACTTCTACACAAGCAATGAGTGAGAGACTATCTCGATTGAGGTCCGACAGAGTTGCACAACATGCTTTTGTGCAGAGAGAAAGGAGTCGGGCAACCCTGCCTCCTTCTGCCTCTGGACAGGCCATAACGGATGCACCTCCTACTGCTTCAGCCTTCGGTGTGCCTGCTTCTACTTCTTCAACGTTGTCCTCCTACAGCAGGCGGGATTCTCCAATTCATCTTTTGCCACCCCCGTCCTCCCACAGACGCACTTCCTCACCTAGCGTATTTGAGGCGGGATCCACATCCGGTACCCATGCGACACCTGAGGCTCAGGCATCATCATAGCCTCAGTCCCAGACGCCGCCTGAGGCAATTCCTCAGTCATCCTAGGAACCTGAGGCTACACCAGCGACACTTGAGGTCGCACCAGCGACACCTGAGGTCGCACAAGTATGAATTTTGCATTTTTATTTCTATTATGAATTTTATTGTGAATTTTATTATGAATTTTGACTTGAATTTTATTATGCAGGAATGTGATACGCTCAAGGTCATTAGCCATGGACGGAAGATCAGTAGACTTGTGCCGCCTGCTGAGCCATGGTTTGACGAGTTTTTACGGCTTATAGGGTTGAAAGATTTGGCCATGTATGGATACAACATGGTCAACTGGGGTATGATCAACACTTTTATTGAGAGGTGGCACCATAAGACATCGTCGTTTCATCTACCACATGGTGAGATGACTATCACACTTGTGTCTGCTTCCTCTTTCGATTAGAGAGACTTTCTTAGATCATGATAGGCTTAGCAAAGAGGAGGTGTTGGATTTGTTGGTTCAGAAACTGGGAGTTACCCTTGAGAGTGGCCTGGGAGAGATTGATAAGATCTGTGTTTGCCACGTCAGGTATAGTTATTTGGCTAGGGTGTTTGCTGATGAGATTAGGCGTGCACGAGAGGCTCATGATGGTCCCGAGCAGGTTACCATTCAAAGGGGGTTTTCCATGAGAGCATACCTTTTGTATCTTGTTGGCACACATATTTTTATGGACACCAGTGCCACTTACACCGATATCATGTACCTGTAGTACTTTGATGATTTTGAGACGATTAACTAGTGGAACTGAGGGGCTGCTTGCTTGGTTTACTTGTATACCAAGTTGGATGACGCCATTAATTACGATACGAAGCAGGTGAGTGACAGCATGTCACTCATGACGGTATACATTCTTTGTCTTTGTGGCCTTTGTTAATTATTTTGATTCAGGAACTAACTACTTAATTTTGTTATTCCAGGGATGGATCCTACAATACATCCCCCGCATTTCGGGTTTGTCATATGTTACGAGTTATACTGAAGATAAGTCGCGTGCCTGTGCATACGACCCGCTCCGAGGGAACCAGATGATAGAGTCGTTCCAGGTTTACATTGATTGATTGATGCATGAGGACATTCACTTCAGTTCATACATCGACCATCGTGTCACGATACCATTTGACGAGGTTGCGATGTTTATAGGTTGGTTGGCTTGCAGGATTCGCAAGACCGTTGCTTATTTGCCTGAGCGGGTGATATGTCAGTTCGGGTTTACCCGAACTATTCTCTGGGATCCTGTTGTATGTACTCCTCCGACTGTGAAACAGAGGGATATAAATGCTATGTTTGATGATTTTGATGATTATCTTTTTCCTGATGAGGTCAGGAGTACCGTAGCACCAGACGACTGGAGGTACGGGTACGGATACATGATATGGTTCTTCAAGGTATTCCATTTGTACATGGTAGAGGATGCTCCAAAGAACCCACCAAGGTTGGTTCATTAGGAGATCCTAGAGGAGGAGCAGGCTAGGAGGGATCATGCTCATGACGTGTTGCCTAGGTATCGTCGCATCATGAAGCTTGCGCGAGATGGTATTGACAGAGGGTTGTTTTCTGATGGATCCGATGTTAGAGGTGTTTTGGATGCCATCATGACGGAGGCTCAGGAGGCTCTGTGTTACAGGAGGCAGTGGAGGGATGCCTCGAGGGTGAAAGACCGACTCATCATCCGCCATACTCAGTAGTTTATGTTGATGCATTTGTATTTTGATTTTAGTTTTTGGTATTATATTGTATCGTCTTTGTAGTTGGATTACATTTTGTGGTTGTGTACGACTCTATCACTCCATTTGTGATGTGTATGGTTTGTATAATTTTTAATTTGTGATGCTAAAAAACGAGAAATATATTTCCTTGCAAGCCTGATTTTTCTGATTTTTCTGCTACTGGCAGTATCAGAATCGAAAATATATTACCAGTTTAAAACCGAAAATATACTTTCGATTTTAAATCAAGTTTTTTAAAAAAAGATACGCACCAAAAATATATTTCCAATTTTAAAAAAGCATTATAATAATTACATAAGATTTAATTTTCTCATATAGAGTGGGATAAAAAATCCTCTTTTTATATTCAATTTAGAGAGCTGTGTCATGGTCCAAAAATGTATATTTAATTAATTGGTAAAGTTGTAAATGCAAAACAAATAGAAATGTCAACTGCATCATCCAGCTTTAGATACCAGTACTGTACATATATTTGATTTTTGTAGCTTACATGTAAATAGAATAACTTAGTAAAATATTTGTGCGGTTCATATTTTAAATTTTTTGATAAAGTTTAATGGTTGATGATATAATTGTTATTATAAAATTATTAATAATTAAAAATATTTAAAAATAAATATGTAATAAATCATCAGTAGGATAGATTTAATATATTTAATAGTCATAAATATTTATAAATATCATTAATAATTATAAACATTTATAAATACTATTGATAATTATAAATATGTATAAATATTTTGTTGATTAAAATAAAAAATATATTTTAATAATAGTGATCCATGAAAATAATGATTTTTAGTAATAAAATTCACATGAGATAGTAAAATTTACATCAAATATAGGACCTAAACATTTGTTACAAATCTTAAAAGTTTTTAAATAGAGAGTTGATAAAAACTTAAAATTTAAAACTCTAACATCTTTTATTAAATTAAAGATCAAAAATATATTATAATGATAGTGATCGGGGAAAACAGTAAATTTTAATGATAAAATTTATAGGACTTGGCAAAATCTCATTTTATGGATAAGAAACTCAAATTTATATATGATTTATTAAATGAATTATAACTTGGTATTTTAACCTTTTTTCAATTTTTTAATAACATATTTAAACGATATACTAATAACTAAATTTGGAATCATTATTTTTTTTAAAGCAAGATTTAAAATTTAAAATATCGCATTTGCATGCTATTCATAACATAAACATATAAAAAATTTATTAAACATCAATTAAGTAATTTAATGTATTATAAAAATATAATTAATAATTATAATTACTGATAAATTGTAATTAACAAATTAATACTATATATAAAGAAGATTTTGACTAATAAGCTAGTTGATATATATAGAATTTGATTATAGAAAAAATGTAATTATTTTATTTAAATTAATAAAATCAAAATGAAAATGATAGTATGTTTAATCTCATGAAAAAATTTAATTATTTTATTTAAATTAATAAAATGAAAATGAAAATGCTAGTTGAATCTCATGTGCAATAGCAGATCTACCATATTTGGACTGATAGTATGTTTAACAAAATCAAAATGATATTAAGAATATTACAAACATGATATACTATCTATCTAAATAAATATGTGTAGATAAGAGGTATACTATACATTATTATTATTATTGTAAAAGAATACATTATAGTTATTACAAACATGATATCCATGTTCACTACCAAAACTGGATGATGAGTTTCAACACACCTCACCAATTATGTAACTGAGAAGTGATGCTTTTCTAACTGGATGATATTGTGTATGAATGTATCTCTTGGCTTTTCTCGGAACCAGGCTGCTTAAGCCACTTGTTGTATAAATCTTTAATAATCGGATTGTCGAATGGTTCTGCTACCAAAATCTATCACATGGATAAACATAATGTTCCCTGTATGAAAAGAGAGGCCAATTGACAATCTAGGCTCAAATTAAGGCATGAAGAAGAAGACCTATAACTTTTATGAGTATTTATTACTCAAAAGATATAATTGGGTTATAATATTCAGCCACATCAAATATTTATATATCATGCCATACATGTTAAAAATTCTTTTAAATTAATTTTGTGACCATTCTAATTTAAACTAAGAAACATTTTCTAGTTTGCAAAATATAGCCTGATATACATAAATATCATTTTCTTTCTTGTTTGATGCATCCTGTTTGATGCTGCAATGATATCAGAACTCGGAAAAAATGTAAACAGAATTTCAAATATGGGAACTTGTAAGCTGCCAATAAGTTCAAATTGTGAATAAGTTCTAAACAAATTTTCAAATATAATTTTCTAGCCTGTAGGCCTGGCCACAAAACCAACTAAATCAGAAAATACCTCTGGTGTAATACTCCAAAATTGTTTCGACAGATTGAAGAACTCACTGTGAGATGAATTAGCAGCAAGTATATCTCCAATAAAAACCTGGTTTCAATAAGTCATAAACAAAGTCAGAGAGATTTTAAACAGAATTTCTAAGCTTTGAATAAGTTCTAAACAAAATTTCAAATGTTTCAAAAGTTTTATGATTTGTCTCTACTATAACCGTCAAATATTAGCAATCTAAAAAATGAAATTTTTACCCACATACCACCTTTTTACCAACTAATTTCCAAAGTATCATTATTTTCAACTAATATTCCCAATATACCACCTTTCCAAAAAAAAAATTGAAAGTAGGAGGCTCCGCCCAATGGATGGGCGGATGGTCTTTATTTTATACAGCTTCCGCCCATTGCATTGGCGGAGCTGTTTAAATAACGTTTTTTGTTTTAATTTAGAAACTAAAAAAAAAATTACGTTTGCACTCTTCCGCCCATCCAATGGGCGGATCCTCTCTAATATTTAAAACTTCCGCCCAATGCTTCAGCGGAATGGAAAAAAATTTCACTGCTCCGCCCATTCAATTGGCGGATGTGTTGTGGCAAAAAAAAAAATTTGTTTGAAAACAGGTAGATTGGGATTATTTAATGAAGAAGATGGTATATTGGGATTTAGTGTGTAAAAAGAGTGTAGGACAGTAAAAAATTCCTAAAAAATTTAGATTTGACAAATAAACCGAAAGCTTTAAGCTTATCAGGGTGAAGACTAATTCATCATTTCCAAGAGATGCAGTCAATTCATTTCTCTTCATCACATCTTTCATGAAAATTTGAAGCTACAAATACAATTATGATGAATGACCCATCAGATATTAGCAATCTTTTTCACATATATGTATCAAATATTAACCAAAAACAAATATATTCTCATGCACAGACCTGATGGTGATACTTTTTGGTCATTGAATATCATCTCTTTATGTGATTCATAGCTCTTGAGATGAATGACCCTGCTATAGACCTTTCACCAATGCCAAGATGCTGAACTTGAATCCACTGTTCAGTCACAATGCCACTCATCTGAATGTAAAAAAAAAGAATAACATCAACTAATGCAAAGATCTATGAACTATCTCAACCAAGGCTCAAATTAATGAGTAGAAAAAAATGTTAAATTGCATACAAAATAAACAAATTCACAATGGACATCTATATCAGCTAAAACATTTGTGAACTATAATATAGTAATTACGACATCAAAACAGATTATATATACTTCTAAACAGATATTCTTCCTTGCTATATGGATACTTGTTCTTCCATTTGATACACTTGCCCACAGGTGCTTATCAGTTGTTGGTTATCAAGGAAAGGTAGAGTTACAAAACTCTCTTTAACCAACATCATAGTTAATTTATGGCACCAAAAGCAACGCAATCACAACCAAAGACAAAAAATATATAAACGATTCTTAATAGTTCTTTATTAATCAAATTAAGTACCAAAAGCTTGTCGAAGCCTCTAGACAAATTAGAGGTAAACAAATACAATTTTATGATAAGCTAAACAAATGTTTTTGACAAATTACATATATTCACCTTTGAGACTTCTAAGAAGAATGCAAGTTCTCGTAAACGGAAAAACCTAGAGCTATCCTAGACCCCACACCCTGTACCATACAAAATAAGCAGGGATCAATATTAGCATAAAGTAACAAACAGAGGAAGTAGATATGCATCATGAACATACCAACAATGTTGCACCAAGTCCCATATATTTTTGGAAATAGAAACAACAACAAACAAAAAGATAAAGAAACCCATTGTTAACCGATTGGATTTGGGTTCAATAAACAACAACAAAATGTTAAAAAACCAAATCTGAAATATGCAAACACAAATACAACTAATAGAAGAAAGGAGAAGAGTATAAATCTTGGAATTATTGAGATCACGAGTCTTCCCTGTTACATAAATCAATAGTACTGAGAAAAGAACTCGTGAATAAGAAAACACGGTTGAGATATTCGAAAGGAAACTTATGCTGCTTTTTTGAAACTCTAATTTTGTGCATCTTCATTTTCATAGATTTTCATAAACCCTAATTTATTTCATAGTCATTTCATCTTCATTGAGTTCAGGGAAGGAGTGAATGAGCGCTAGGATTTGAAGACTAAAGAGAGGAAAGGTTGTTGTTGTTGACGGAAAAGAGTAAGAAGATGGGAGAGAAAAGTGAAGGTGTATGTGCTCCTCCGAATGTCAAACCGAGGGATATGGATGCAATATGTTTGACGATTGGGAGAATCTCTTATTTCTGAAGAGGCCAGGAGTACCGTAACACTAGACGACTGGAGTTACGAGTACGGATATATGATATGGTTCTTCAAGGTGTCTCATCCGTATATGGTAGAGGATACTCCAGGGAATCTACCGAGACCGGTTCATCAGTAGATCCTAAAGGAGGAGGAGGTTAGGAGGGACCGTGCTCATGATGTGTTGCCTAGGTGTGGTTGTATCATGGAACTTGCGCGGGATGATATTGAGAGAGGGTTGTTTCCTGATGGATACGATGGCTCAGGAGGCTTTGTATTACAAGAGGCAGCGGAGGAACGCCTCGAGAGTGACAGGCCGACTCATCATCTGACATACTCAATAGTTTATGCGGATGCATTTGTATTTTGATTTTAATTCTTTTGATATTGTATTGTATCGTAGTTGTATTTGAATTACATTTTGAGGTTTTGTACGACTCTATCACATTATATATATATATATATATATATATATATATATATATATATATATATATATATATATTTATTTATTTGTGATGTGTATGGTTTTTACAAATTTTAATTTGTGATGCGAAAAAATAAAAAATATATTTTTTGTAAGTTTAATTTTCCTGTTACTAGTAACATCAGAATCGGAAATATATTATCAATTTAAAATCGGAAATATACTTCTGATTTTAAGTTAAATTTTTCAGAAAAATGTGTGTATCAAATATATACTTTTGGTTTTAGAGGGGTATTATAAGAATTATATAAGATTTAGTGAAGAAAGAAATCCTCTTTTTACTATTCAATTTAGGGAGTTGTGTTATGGTCCAAAAATGTATATTCAATTAATTGGCCAAGTTGTAAATGCATAACAAATAAAATGTCAATTGCATCATTCGAATTTTTTTCAACAATGTCACACTCCTGAAATAATTTTCCTACAATGCCACATCCTGAAACGAATTTTCCAGAATGTCACTCCCAAGGGGTTCACGCCATTTCAAATGGCACAAACGTGGGACCCAGCTGATACAACAATGACTCTCGCCATTTGAAATAGCGTGAAAGTGCTATTTTTATTTTTAATTCGTTTTCTGAATTTTCTTTATTTATATTAATTATTTTTATTGTTTAATTTTATTATTAATTATAAATAATTTAATAAACTATTTAATTATAAAATTAATTAATAAAATATTAATTTAAAAACTTAAATAATTATAAATTAACAATTACAATTAAATAATAAAAATTATTATTAAGTAATAAAATTTAACAATTACAATCAAAATACTAAATAAAAAAAAATACAGTTAAAAGTAGTTATAAATAACAATACATGGATAAAATTAGTTAGAAGGGCATGCATTGTTGAGGCCATGCGGACATTTTTTGCGCATGTGTGGTTGTTGACAGATTCCGCATCGTCTTTTTATTTTCTCAACAGTGTCCATTTCAGTTCTAATGCGAGTACTGTTCGGGCGACCTTTTTTGTTTCGTTGCATCCTTTAATCATGCAAAAGAGTATCGCCCAAATATGGAGGTCGACTATCTTCTTGAGGAACACCGAGGAAACTTTGTATGTAAACTTTGAAGACGTTTATAACTCTATACAAGTCAGGAATAAACGTAGTATAGTCGTGGTTAATGTGAGAACACGTCGCGATATCATGTGAGCAAGGCAGATGAAATGTTTGAAATTTCCCACACTCACAAGTTCGTGTTTGGAGGTTGACGTTGAAATGAGTAAGTGGTCGACAATTCCTATTATTAACCGTCTCTTGGACCACGAAATAGTGACTTTCACGGTCAAAAGCCAAGACATTATAACTGTGATATTTTTCTACTTCTTCTGCAATTCCTTTCATGCAGTTATCTGTGAATTCCTTTCCCGATGACAAATTTTTTGTCCAATCCTTTCCTCGCTTACCCCACAATGTTCCCATCCTATAGTGTGTTGATCTTACATGTGAAGTAATAGGTAGGTTGTGGGTTTCCTTCAACACTGAGTTCAAAGGTTCAGCAAGATTGGTTGTCACGTGACCCCATCGTGCTCCTCCACCGTAAGCTCGCGACCATTTTTCTATTGGAAGGTTCTCTATCCAATTGAAAGCCTCTGTGTTTGTTTGGAGGATCTCCTCCCGATAATATGTGTATGTAGACTCATTAATTGCATACCCTGCGTATAAGCATTAAAAACATTAATATAAAAGAACTATATATTGAAATGCCATGTTAAAAATTAGAGAGTAATTACCCATGTTAACAATTATCTTGCGAAGGTTTTTGTTCTTGATGGCTCGCATGAAGTTTTGTGCGATGTGCCTAATGCAATACACATGCACCGAGGGTGGGTTCTGCCATCCATTGTTCGGGTTATTGTAGGAACTCTTAATGGACTCATGTCGATCAGATATCAAACATAAGTCTGACTGGGGTGTGACGTGGAGTCTCAAATTTTTCAGAAAGAAACTCCAAACCCCCTGGTCTCACCTTCGACCAATGCATATGCGAATGGGAAAATGTTACCATTCCCATCTTGTGCAACAGCTAGGAGCAATGTTCCCTTATATTTTCCATACAGCCATGTACTATATACCTGCACTATAGATTTGAAATGTGTGAAACCCCTAATACAAGGTTGAAAGTCCTAAAAAAGGCGATGGAAAATTCTTGCACCACCAATTTGTGTTCCTTCATTTGAATATACAAGAAGTGTTTCAAGATCTATGACGGTACCTGGTAGAAATTGTTGCATGACTAGCAACCACTGCGGAAAGTGTTGTAAGAGGCCTCCCAATTGCCATAAATATCTTCGATTGCTTTGTTTTTTTCAATCCATGCCTTTTTGTAAGACACGGTGTAGCCATAAGTCGTACGAATATGAGCAATAATATGTCTAACCTTGATTGTTGTGTCACTCTCGACAAGAGGTCTGATGTTATGGCCGATCATCTTTGAGGTAATCTTTTGGTGATATTGAGATATAGCAGTCGACATGCAAGTGTGTGGCCCTCCAATTCTGCCAATAACCTATTGACAACACCCCTCCCTTAACGAAGCTCTACATGTGAAGTTGCATCCCTCCTTTTTACATTTAATTAAATATCGTGTCGGATCAGACTTACAAATCTTAAAAGTATAAGAATTTTTTATGTGATACTGTGATGCGGTGGGAGAACTGACTTGAGGGTTTTGCGTTTCATCGCAAATGTTGCGGTTAGCAAGAGTCGCCACCGACTTTTCTTTTATCCAAAAGGAAAGGTGAAAAAGCACAGAAAAGACCTTTGAGATTGTTTCTTGAGTTTGGGGGGTAGATTATGAAAATGGAAGGTATTGGCACCCTTTTCATCCATTATTTTCCATGGGCTCTTAGTTACTTGCTTAGATCACTTGCTTTTGTTGTTTGAAAATATGCTTGGTGTGGTTTTGAAAGTATTTTGAAAAAGATGCCATTCGTTTAGGCAATCTTTGTAATAATTCTCGTTCGTAAGAATGTATACAAAGATGTTTGTCTTTTTGAAAATGTTTTCAATGTTTGAAAAAATGTTTTGGAAATGTGTGTGTTTGTTTTGAAAATAGCAAGGATAGTTGTTTTGAAATAGAGCAAGTAACTAGAAGCAATCTACCTACTCAAATGTCTTTCTTATGTATTTTCTATTCCTTTAACATTGTTGTCTTA